TACAAATACTGCTGTCCCATGCCTGGGACATTGCAGGAGCGGGTACAGAAAAATCAACGAAAGCACAGAAACAAACAATAGTGCGCACAAATTTATGTGACTAACACATAAAATTTTTCCCGAACTCTACAGTGTTCATTCTAACGCAATGCACCATCAAGCTTGTTCCAAACTTCCACCACACGCGGAAAAAAAGAGAATTTGAAACAATCCAAACGAGACCTGAAGGGTACAAGGTTCAAAGCGTCTGTACTACGTGTTGTACGCGCTGGTATATCACGAAAGATAAGGGCTGTTTATGTGACTCGTTACACTGTCGTCTTTTCTATAGGTCGTCCTTCTGGTACCAGGTGGAAACATAATTGTTAATGAAGAGGAAAAATTCTACTTAAATGAATAAATGAAAAATTGAAGGGAAGGACGACAAAAAAAAACGTTCAGAAGATTCTATGCACTGCGGCGATCGATGAAGGTACTCATTAATGACCGGCTTATGCCGAGAAAGAAACTTGACTGAGCCTGTGCAGCGTAGCATTACTGGTTTTGCAAAAACTGGTTAACATCCCTGCGTTTCCGCTTTCCTCGTTTTCTTCCTTCCCAATTCACCTTGGCCTAACTATATACTTATTTCTATTACTAATTTAAACCGTGCCGATTCGCGCTTCTCAAAACTTGCCAGCATCCCAACTGCCAGAACAAAAGTCTCCAGCGACGTAGCGCTCCGCCTATGACGTCATCCGCGAGCGACATTTCAGCTCAGGCCACATGACCCGCGGTTGTCAGGGTGCAGCAGCCACTCTACCCTGTGATGGTTCACATCAGGCCCGCAGCCAGGGGGAGGGGGGTTTGCCCTAGAGGTCCGCGTCCCCTCTGAAATTTAGATGAAGGAAGTGTTTTACCCCTGTACTAACGTGACGTTTTTTGTCATCAAAAGAGCCAAATGCGCTTTTAACTGAAACTGAGAAAAAACGCACTGTTTGCTGCTGGCAATACGGTAGGGCCTGCTTCAACAATTTTCGGTCAGTGTTCCCCGTACCCTAAATGCCTCAATTCTATATATTGCAGCTAAAATCTAATAGCCCACTGTCGTCAGTACTCAGGATTCAATACTGTATTTGGATCTTATAGATTGGAATGTACCATTTGACCTTAAATTAGCTCGTAAAATAAGTCTAAAATATTTTGAATGTACGGTACAGCATTATTGTTCAATGAAATTAGCGTCATACGTCTGCTTTCGTCGGGCGTAATAGCGATGAGTAGACTTGAAGAGCGAGTCCTTCAGGAAAAAAAAATTGCTCTATTCTGGACGGTCAGCAGTGTTTTCTTGCTCTTAAGTCTATTGAAGGCCCCGAAAAGTGCTTCAGATATTCTTCTGAGCTTGCTTTGTCCCGCGACGCTACGGTTCATTTCTCCTTCAAGGAATAGATCGGTACACGTCATCTTCATATCATCCGTTTGCGACCCGCTGAAACTCACATCTTCAAGCGGCATCGCTGGTATCAACGCGAAAATGCACAAAAACACGAAATCAATTACTAGTACACTACTCTGTCATATTTTTCAGCAGTCACTATCATCAGGAGTGGTGCCGGAAGACTGGAGAGTGGGCAAGATTGTTCCAGTGCCCAAAAGAGGTCCTTCATCTCTTTGCAGCAGTTATCGCCCCATTTCCCTTACTCTATCGCGTTTGCTCGAAACTAATGGAGCATGTGATTTACTCTAACATCGTCAAGTTCTTACTCAGCAATAACTATTTTCATTCCAGTCAGCACGGCTTTCGCTCAGAATTTTCATGTGACACACAACTAGCTTTATTTTATCATGATATCAGTTCCAGCCTCGACATAAACATACCTGTCGCCGCCCTCTTCTTAGACATTGAAAAAGCATTCGACAAAGTCCCGCGTCAACGGCTACTACTAAAGCTTTCTCGTCTAAACATTAATACAAATCTATTTATTCGATTTGCAGTTTCCTTACTAATCGCCAAAAATTTGTGCATGCTAACTCCGTCTCATCTAGCCGTTCCTCTGTAATCTCTGGTGTGCCGCAAGTTACAGTGCTCGGACCATTACTTTTTCTCATTTATGTCAATGACCTTCCATCAAACATCTCTTCAAGCATTCGCCTCTTTGCAGACGACTGCGTCGTATACCGTCCCATAGCAAACAGCGCAGACACTACTACACTTCAAAACGACTTCAATCTAATTGTATCCTGGTGTGATAAGTGGTTAATGTCTTTAAACATAAAGACAACTTCATTGGTATCTTTTCATCGCAGGCCCCATCACCAGTCAGCAGAATATACCATTTTCGGCTCTTCAGTCTCACCCGCTGAATCTTACAAATATGTCGGTGTCACATTTTCAAGTAACATTTCCTGGTCAGCCCACGTGACTAACATAGCCAACTCCGCGAATCGCACTCTGGGTTTTCTACGTAGACACTTAAGACTTGCGCCCCTATCAGTTAAACTAATATCGTATGTCACACTTGTTCGTCCAAAATTAGAGTATGCACGTTCTGTCTGGGATCCCCACCAATCTCACTTATCCAACATTCTCGAATCGATTCAAAACCATGCTGCGCGTTTTATCTACTCTGAATATACCTACAATTCCAGTGTTTCCAAACTTGAAACTCGTGCTCACCTTTCTAATCTAGAATTACGACGTCACATATCTCGACTATGCCTTTTTCACAAATTTTATCATGCCCCCATCGAAGTTCCAGACACCATGCTAGTCCATCGCTCATCAAGCCGCACAAACCATTCAAGCGCAGTGTATCCTCCACCAGCCCAAAGTACTGCACATCTTCACTCCTTTTTTGTGACAACTGCACGGAACTGGAATCGTCTGCCTGCAACTACCGTGCACCACTCCGACCCGCATAAATTCAAGATTGCCCTCGAATCACTTTTTTTATTTTGTAATTAATACCCATTCCTCATGTAATACCCCAGCTGGGGACTTTGGGGTATTCAAAATAAATAAATAAATAAATAAATAAATTCGTCTTTTAGGGGCGAATCACGTTAGAGACTAGTATTGTCCGTTGTGCGTTGTTTCTTGTACGTTGTCAGTGTTCACGGTGAAGATGACGATGACGCTGATGGGTTTGTGCGTTTTTGTGTGTTGTCCGTGATCATAGTGACGATGAGACTGATGGCGATGCAAGGTACCTCCTATACGCCATGACGGTGACGCTAATGACGATGAATAACACGCGCATTCCAGACCAAGCATTCTCTTTCTCTCATGAATGAAACGCGCTCTCACCCGGGAAAGGAAATTTTTATATGATCAGTTTTCCTTGGAGATAGTTCGTTTTTTGGCCAATCCCCCAGAGTGGGTGCGATTTATGCATATAGGCAATCATCGTTATCATTATCATCATTAACCCCCCCCCTCCCCCGCAGACAGCACCCGATCACGCTGATGACGATGAAGAATAAGCGCGTTTCAGAACACATATTCTCTTTCCGCCATGGATAGAAACAAATGTGAACGCGCTATCGCCCGCAAAAGGCAAAGTTGATGCAGACAACAAACTACCCTGGAGGCGAGAGCTCGCGAAGCAATGGCAAAGCGGCAACGCCGATAATCTGCTACTTTGAAGTCGAGAGCTCGGCATGCGACGGTTCAACCTCTACGCAGAGAGCAAGTTATCCCGTAGGCGAGAGCTCGGGAAAAAGCGGCAAGATGGCAACGCCGGCAACAAGCTGCTACAATGTTGATTGTTTTGGTGACGATTGCCCCATCCCAACAAGTCCCCCACCCCCGAAAAAAATTCCTGGCTACGCGACTGGTTAACACGTAATGTTCATGTGCACTATGAATGATTCTCGAAAAATTGGACGTCTTTACTACTGTTCCCTTGTTATTAGTCAGAAGTCCGAATCGATAAGCGATGTTGAATCATTTTTTATCGTAGTAATTGCTGCTTCGAATGTTTGTGGGACGTATTTACACTTTATTGCTAATGATAAACGCTTTCAAAATACAGACATGAGATAAATAACTGACTCGAGAGTTCCCACTTGCCTAGAAAATTAGTATGTGAGAAGGGGGCAGAAACAAAACATGATAAACACTGTAAGGCTCTTATAACAAAAAGGAAATAGTATTTTCAACTCCTTCTTTAACCATGGGTATTTGAGACCTCAGTACACGTATACACGCACAGAGCGGGCCTGGCGATTTCTCCTTGCTCCTTTTCCAAAGAGACCGAAACTATGCAACAGTTCTTCCTGAACTCACACAGAAAACGAACTTCCTCACACTCAAAATTATATTACGGTAACTTGGTCTACCAGTTGATTCGATTGTTCTGTTATCATGTGGGGCCTCCGCACTGGGACACTCGGACAGGAATATACTGAGTGCCGTCAAAAAGTTCATATCCGACTCAAGTAGATGTATTAGTTGAATCAACCGCTAATAATTCTACACTATGTCATCCTAGTAAAATATATTTGGTCATTGGGAGGTTACGCAAAATAGGGTTGGCTAAAAGAAGGATTCATCATAATTAACGCTTTTTTGTAAATGCATCTGTAACCTCTATTAGCACATACAAATAATAATAAATCTTGACGGCATGATCCACCCGATCGACTCTTGGCCGATCCCATCGAGTGGAGCCATTCTTTCAAGCACCATCATCATCATCATTATCGTCGTTATCACCACTGCGAAACCTGTAATTAGGGTGTTGATTTAATTCATTATATATTACGAATTAAAAGCTTTATGGTTGGTACGCTTGAGTGAGCATCAAAACTTCATTAAAAACTGGTAATGTTTCATTATTAGTCCCCTTTACTCGACAATTACTTAAGATTTTATAAGACTACTCAATTCTTGGCTAGTCCCCCACAGTGGGTATGAGCCACAAGAGAATGTGAACAAGAAGAACAAGTTATGCGAGGAAGAAAAGAACGAAAGCTGCGGGCGCGTGGCAAGCGTCAACCATCAAACGCGGTAGATGAAGATGCCCCCGAAAGCAACTCGGCGTCTGCTTCACGCCCTCTCCGGCGTCACCGATGCCGAAGATGAAGTCCACATCGTCCCTTCAGCGAAGTCCTTGGCACAGCAGTCGGAAGAGTACTTGGTGTGTACTGACTTTCTTCCGGAATTGGATCCCGACCAGCTCCGCTACTTCCAACTGGTCGAAGCGGCGGACATCACCAATCTGGAGGCGTTCCTCAGTTCTCACCCGCACCTAAAGAAAGACTGCGTCAATTGTCAGGGCTACACGGCGCTTCACGTTGCGGTCCGCCGAAAGGACTTGCCGATGGTGAAATTCTTAGTCCAAAATGGAGTCCAGCTCAATGACGTGCTGCTACACGCCGTCGAAACGGGTGACGTTCCATTAACGGAGTTCCTCGTCAAGGAAGCAAGCAAGACCGACCAGCAATGCGAAAAACATGGCTACCCGCATAGTTCTACGTACACCGCCGACGTGTCACCCATTGTACTGGCGGCACAAATGGGCCACTGGGCGCTGATCCACTCTTTCGTCAAACGAGATCTCCGGGTCGAAGCTCCACACGCGGCCTCCTGCCTCTGCAAAACTTGCATCAAGGATATGAGGACAGAAGGAGTGAATGCATCGACGCGCAACCTAAACACTTACAAGGCCATCTGCAATCCCCACTACATGCTCCAGGTATCGGGCGACCCCATACTCGATTCTTTCCTCTTCGCTCAGGGCATGGCCGGGGCGTCTCTCGCCGAAGAAGAATTCAGAAGGGAATACGACCAGGAGATCTCGAAGCTTCGAAAGTTCACCTGCGCCCTGCTCGACCAATGCCGCACGATCGAGGAGGCGCGCGTTCTCCTCGAACGACCGGCCGGACTCGATGGCCGGGTGACACACCTGGCGTTTCCGCGCGTCATCCTGGCCCTGCAGTTCAACGAGCGCGAGTTCGTGACGCACGGCCATGTTCAGCAAGTGCTTCGCATCGAGTGGGAAGGAGAGTTCAAGGCGTGGAACCGATTGCAGTTTCGAGTCAAGCTTGTTCACTTCGCGATCAGGTTCTTCATATTGCCCTTCGTAGCAATTTGGGTCAAGCTAATGCCGCAGTCGGTCATGGCTAGGCACTGGTCGAGCCCCGTGAACAAGTACATGAACCACTTCGCTGCGAGGCTCATGTTCGTATTCTTTGTATATATGCAGATATGTCTCGACAAGGCGAGGACGTCCCGGGGCGCTCCTCGCACTGGCGTCGAATGGCTTATTGTCATCTGGGTAATGGATTCATCGTCGAAGAGACCGTACACTGTTATACCATCGGCGCAAAGCGATACTTCAGCAGCATGTGGCACTGGTACGACATAACCATGATCAGCCTATTCTTGCTCACTTTCATCTTTTGGGTCGTCGCTTGGGCGGAGTTGCTGGGAGACCCGAGTGGAGGTACCGTGCCGCCTCGCAAGGACTGGCCCAGTATGGACAGCACTCTGATACACGAGGCACTGTTCGCACTGTCTTCCGTCATGAGCGTGTTCAAGCTCATGTTCTACTTTCAGGAGAGCGCCAAACTAGGACCGCTGCAGGTGTCCATTTCATCCATGATGGTCGAGATCGTGCGCTTCTTTTTCATCTGTCTCTGCATCATGCTTGCGTTCGCGTTCGGGCTGACGCGCATGTACGAGCCTTACAGAGGGATGAAGAGAGTCGAACCCGACGGCGAGGAAGTGAAACAGAGCCCGGCCTTTACATCGTTCGGCAACTCCATGAAGACGCTATTCCTTCGGATGCTGGGCGTCGCGTCCGATGACCAGGCGGACGTGGTGGTGGCTAACGCCGAGGACGGGTCCATCAACGAACACAGGTTCACCGAAGTAATCGGCTCCACCATGTACTCTGTCTACCAGGTGCTAATGCTCATCGCGATGCTGAACTCGCTCATCGCCATCGTCACGGGACCTTCCAGAAGGTAATCGACAACGCTGAGGTCCACTGGAAGTTTTACAGGACGCGGCTTTGGATGCACTACATCAACGAGGCACTCGTTGCTCCCAGTCCCTTCCTGTTCTTCCAGATGCCGCTCATGATAGTGGACTTGGTGAAAAAAAGAAGGTACTGGCCTCTGAGGAACCAACCACCGGATTCCTACCCGGACGTTATCCACAAACTGGTACAACGATACCTCTGCCACGAGCGTGTCATACTGTATGACTGAGGCATCTACCGGAAGCGTACATATGCCTAACCAATCAAATTATTGAAAACACGCTAATATATTCGATACAATCTAATGTTACGCGCGTCATGTTTATAGCTGACTAAGCATCCACGACGAGACCTAATTTAGTCGATGGTATTTTTTTAAAAAGCTTGTACAATTTTATTATTTGTTCCGTACTGTCCGAGAACGTAGTGTTTTTTGTATGAAAAGTGCTACAGACGAAATGGCTAGTGTTGGAATATGTGGCCCACGAAAAAGATATTTGCCCGCAAACCACGCGTTATTACGTGTTCTTTTGCTATAATAAATGTATTTACCGTATTCGTCACAACCCCAACGTCGAAGTCGGCATTGGTTTCGTTACACGAACAGAAATCGGCGTCAACGATACAGAGTGGGACTCGACGTGTAACATTACTTCGCGACGAAACCGGGGACTTCTAAATACGATCAATGGCGCCAATCAATCTACTTTGCGGAGGAGGCTAGACAGTTTTAGGCACATTTATTACTATCTGCCAGGTCGTCCGTAAGGAGCGTTCGACGAGCAGAAATGTCACTATAACTACTGAGTGTTGTGGAGCTTGAATCTTCATTGCTGATAATAGGGTATATAATATGTATAGTTTTATTAAAAACAACGAAATCAAATACGTGGTGTGTTCTTTTGCGATGGTCGCTCGAACAACCTGTTTTCACATGTATGCCTATTTTGTTGTGTGTGCGTTTTGTTATTTTGAGTTCGCGTTCTTGGTCATCGACGTTGAGTGAGTGTGGGCGACGCTTGTACTATTCTGGCACCAATATCTTACAGGTCTCACGCTTTTTTAATGGTTTCATGAGGAGAGGTCAGTGAGTAGCTATCTATACGGACATTCCTTTTTGTTGTTGTTTTTTATTTGCTTTGAGTGAAACGTTACGAGGTGTATCGAAGTGTTTGTGTAAATGGAGTAGTGTGCACCCTATGGCCTTAGTAGAGGCGTCGACTACATTAGCGCTTATCGGGTAGCTTATAGTTTGACGTAACGTCAGCACTCACGATAGCTGCATAGCAGATTTTATAGCAAGTCTTGCTCGATTCCTCGGGGGTCGAGCGACACATGAATATAGCTTGCTGAGTATATAGCACACGTGTCAGGTTTGTCAAAACGAAGTTCACTTTCCTGCATTCCTCCGAGGTACGCTTGCATGTAGCTTGCCCAGTCACATTTACAAGGTTTAGTACTTTTATAAAAGTGGCTAGCCAACATTGCAATCACAATCAACTTTGCACCAATATGGCACATACACTGCGTATAGCTGTTTCACGAGCCTGCATAGCCCGGTGGTAGAATACTTGAATGCCACTCAGGACGCCTGGATTTTATTACTGGTCGGATTTCAATTTTATTCTTTCCAGTCACCCGAATTTTCGTTTTTGATTTCTTCACAAATTTTTCACTTCAGGCCAAATCTCTTCGGCGCATGTTTCGGCGGGCGAAGGAGCTTCGCTTTCCGGCGTCCTCTCCATCGCAAATAATGAGTGCTTCTTGACGGAAAGGAAAATGAGCTAATTTCTGCCTGCCGATTGTGGTGACAAGGCTAAGCTCCTCGTATGAAAGGGGGGAAGGGAATAAAAAGAGTAGCAGAAAGATAAACAAGATGGAGCACTCGCCGCACAGGGGCGACAGAGAGAAAGTAGAGTGTAAGGAAAGATGGAAACATGGTCGAAAGATCCGAGAACGGGGCACCGATGGGCGAGAGCTACATGGCACCAGGAGCTCGCGGACGGCGAGAGCTACGCTGGCACCAAAAATCACGGGCGGCACAACAGTTCAGCTTGAATTACACCGAGAGCATAGCTCCCACGCAAATAAACTAGCCGAAACAGTGTTCAGTCGATGTGTGCTCGAACGTTGCGAGCAGTGGAGAGAGTGAAGCGAGAGAGGTGACGCGTGGCGAGCGCTCGGCAGGCGAGTGTAGATACTGACGTCACCACGCACTGCGAAGAAAGGCGTGACCTACTTGGCACCGCCCCAACACCTTGCGGCGAGGGAGCGGTGCGGCGTGATGGCACGGAGACACGAACGGACAGCGTTACACAGGCTAGTCAAATAGCTGCTTCACATCTAAAAAAAGATTGCCCTGAGTAAAGGTTTGGGACAGGCTTTGCGCCGCCCTCTTAGCTGATTAGAGGGTGCTGCAACGGTCTTTCTGATTTGCGCCATTATCGGATTCGACTACATGGCAGAATTCGACTGTGTCCGGCAGAACTTATGCAACGCTCTTGAAAGAATCGATACTTTCGTAGAGACGGCTGTTCATTTTGTCCTGAACAGTCTCGATCGCAAAATCCCGCGTCCAGCATGCAAAGAGGCCGCGGGCATGCACCGGCGCGCCTGAGCAATTCTCCGGAACGAGTAATCGTTTTCGACCGCAACAGTCACGGCCGCTTGTTTCTCGGTCGGGGGATATATAATTATACGAGCGGAATTCGGCTTGCTCTCCGCACTACCTTCTTGCCCCCTTTGCCATGGGATGCGCACGTTGCGGCTGCTGGCGACACTCTTGACGTTGTTGAGAAAGTTGAGCAATCGGCCGTAAATCAAGCGATTCGCCGCTGGAGCACACGCGTATACGCAGCTTCTGAGTTCTAAACGTTATAACGCTTTGGCGTCCAACGGGCTTTTACCGCTCCATTCGCCTATTCAATGTGTGTAATTTGGTGCAACTGCTGATGGCACCAAACCGTATACTTTTGACCAACTGCCCACTAATACAAGACTATCACTTTGTATTCAGTCTTTGTATCGCTTTGTATTATTGCCTTTAACTCACAGCGGCAGTCACCAAGCGTTTTTCTCATGGTGCTTACTTTTCTCAATTTGAGGGAGAATGTGACAGGATAAACGGCTTAATGATTAAGCCAATGTTTATTCTAGAAGACTACTGGCCATTTGTGATGCTTTATGATACAGATTGCTATATGCATGACAGCAAGGCCTAGGGGCCAGTTATATTTAACCTAACTCATCATTCTTCAATACCGCTTATTATTATTAAACACGAAGCATTTCTTTGCGTACTGCAAGCACTCCTGGTATCTATCTATCTATCTATCTATCTATCTATCTATCTATCTATCTATCTTTCTATCTATCTATCTATCTATCTATCTATCTATCTCTATCTATCTATCTATCTATCTATCTATCTATCTATCTATCTATCTATCTATCTATCTATCTATCTATCTATCTATCTATCTATAGTAGTTCTATTATTATTATTAGAGCTATTAAAATATTACGATTAATATTACCATCACCATCATCATCATCATCACAGCTGTCGTTGTTGTCGTTGCTGAGATTTTACGTTCCAAAACCACGACGTCATTATGAGACACGACGTAACGGAGAGCTCCAAAAATTTCGACCACATGGCATTCTTTAACGTGTATACCTCGGATTTATCTGGATACACGGGCTTCAAGCATCTGGCCGTCATCGAACTGCGATTGCTGCTGCCGAGACAAACCTCGACGGACGTTGTTTCACGATGACCTATGGTGGCGCAGGAAACGGAAAAGAGAGTTGAATGCAATTCGCGAAAATTGACGTCTCCAAGCGGCCATTTTTCCTTCGACAAAGACCAGCGCGTAGCTGATTTCGTTTCTAGTTCTCTCCCCCCTCCGCCCCCAAACAATCCTCTCGGGAAAGAGCTCTTCGCGCTTGCCACTGCCGATCACTTCCTGCTACGAACTCTCGTTGGCCCGCAGCCTCACGTGTCGAGTATTTTGGTCGCACAGCCTCGAGGAAGAGGCTGCCTCGGCGACGTGCCCGACGATGTCGGTGACAGATGTATTCACGGCTCCTCAGTATAGACCCTCGTGAGACACCCGAACCGTGTGTCTTTGAGCTGGCCATTATTACACAGAACACACTAACGTCTGCTTGACGTTTTACAAATCAGTTCAGATAGATAGATAGATAGATAGATAGATAGATAGATAGATAGATAGATAGATAGATAGATAGATAGATAGATAGATAGATAGATAGATAGATAGATAGATAGATAGATAGATAGATAGATAGATAGATAGATAGATAGATAGATAGATAGATAGATAGATAGATAGATAGATAGATAGATAGATAGATCT